AAAAGGATGAGCAAAAGGGGTACTAGGACAAATACCACGGTTAGTGTGGCAATGGCCACTTCATTTTTGTAGGTATTGGTGGAAGCCAGTCTCAGAACAGGCATAAGATCACAGAGGAAATGGCTGATTCTATTTGATCCACAGAAGGGAAGGGTGAAAATTGAAATAGATTGCCCCACACCCACCAAAATCCCGATGGCCCATGAAGCAGCAACAAAGTGAGCACATTCCCTATAGTTCATGATATATGGGTATTGAAAGGGTTTGCAAATGGCAACGTAGCGATCATACGCCATGACACAAAGAAGACAACACTCGGTGGTACCAAAGAGAAGGAAACAACATAATTGAGTTCCACAGCCCCAAAAGGATATAGTCTGCTTCTCTGATAACAAATTCACCAGTAACTTTGGGCTGATAGTGGAGGTGTAGCCAATTTCCAAAAAGGACAAGTTCCAGAGGAAGAAGTACATTGGAGTGTGAAGGGTGGGACTGACAATAGTAAGGATAAAAATCAGGCTGTTGCCCATCAAGGCCAAAAAGTAGAATATTAGAACCAGGCAAAGCAGAAATTTCTGCATAGACTGGAAATCTGAGAAGCCCAACAGAACAATCTCTGTCAAGCAGGTCTGGTTGTCTTTTTTCATGGTATCATCCAGATTGAAGGCTGAGAACACAAGAGAATGTTACATAAAGTATTAAACCATTCTTCTTAACAATTATTAACAATTCTTCTTAACAATTATTAACAATTAAATAGGCCGGTTACTCTTGGATTCTTATAATGGAGACCTATATGCTGTTTCCTCAGAACTGTTAAGTAGGATCAAATCCTTGGAAATAGAGAATGCCACCCTTTTATAATTTTGTTGTTTATTATTTTCCATTACTGAAATTGTGCATTGATATTCTGATTGGAAGTGCTGAAATCCTCAAATAGGTAGAGGATTTCACTGTACATGCTTTTCATATTTGAAACTACACTAAGATTTCAGTTGAACATTTTGGAAGGTTAATGTAGTGGGAGGATTGCAAACTGGAGAAAACTGATTTAGGCCAAAGGCAGATCAATTTCCCATTAAATGCAAATTGTTCCCACCGTTTATCATAATTGTTCAGCCATTCCTGTTACATAGTGAATGGCATTTTCCCTCTAGACCGAACATCAAAATATGCAGAAATTTCAGGCATGATCTGTCCCAGGCTCAAAAGAATTAAATGCTAAAGCAGAATTGAAAAGCTGACAATAAAACTCTCTTAATGTTCCACTGAATATCCTTTGAAATTAAAACTTCTTTTCATGAAGTTGCATGTGAGGAACCAAATGATCAAATATGACCTTAGGTGAATTATGAGGTATTCATCTTACTTCATCAATCCTTTTCTGAATATTTTTAGAGAGATGGGATACTTTTTCCTTAAGGAAAGCCTGAAATGCTTTAATATTCATTGGCAATTCAAGGTCCCGAAAATTCCTCTACCACAGAAGAGTCTTCCTGTGGTCTTTCCTTTGGAAAAAATGTTTGCTATTATGGAAGCTGTTTACACCAACCCACATCAAAGACTCTGAAGGAGCCACTGGACTCCTAGAGGATCCAACATACCAGAAAAACTGGAGGACTTTTTCTCTAACAAGGTCTCATGACAGAAGCCCAAGGATTCATCCTGGGGATTTGGTAAATGAATACCAGAGGACAATCTGGACCAGGGGGAAGAACCTCTTGGTCTTCCTGAAGGCCTTGAGGACCTGGTTCTTCCCTCACTCTCTGGGGTAGGATATTAGTAGATCCTCATATGGTTTTTTTGTGTTATGTTGTAGGGAGCCTCAATTATTATTATTTTTAATTGGTGTTGCCTATGGGTTTTATACTGTGTTAGCTGTGCACTTATTTGGCTAAGAAGGACAACCATATAAATTTGCCAAATAAATGAAGAATAAATAAATGAAATTTTATCAAGATTAGATAGCCTTTTCTTGTTCACATGATAGAAGTATTATGAACTGTACAGGGATTTCAAAATGTGAATGGCAAGGGCAAACTCCCAGCTTAGAATGGAGGCAAAGCAGACTTGATTTTGCTGCCCCCACAAAAGTTGCCTAAAGCTTTCCCATCTTTAATAAATCTCTTTTTATTTGAAATGCTGGAGAATCTCTTGATGGAATGCAGTACCATTTCCTTTGCTGGTTGTTACAGCTCTACTTCCTGGTGGCTATGGTAGGGACTGAAGTCTTCCTCTTGGCCATCATTGTCTATGATCTCTATTTGGCTTTACGAAACCCTTTGAGATACATAGTTATCATGAACAAAAAGGTTTGCCTTCATTGTGTTGTAGCACATGGATCACCGCCTTCCTCAATGCCTTGTTGCACAGAACCTTGACTTTCACTCTATCTTATTGCAACTCCAATAAACTACTGTGACATCCCACCAGTGTTGGCCTTATCTTATCCTTCCACCTATGAGGCTAGGTGGTTGTCCTCATTGTTGGTGGTATATTTGGTGTGGTGGCTTTTCTAATCACCTTGAGTTCTTATACTCACATTATTGCCACCATTCTGAGGATTTGTCCCACTGATGGGAAGTGTAAGGTTTTCTCCACTTGCACCTTCCACTTTAATGGTCTGCCTTCTCTACGGAACCACTCTCTTTACATACAGAAGGCCTTCCTCCGGCTACCATCCAGACCAGGATAGCCCGGTGAGCATGCTGTATAGGTAGATTAATCCCATGTTAAACCTGTTGATTTGTAACCTTAGAAACCAAGATGTGAATAGGGCCCTTGAACACCTAACAGTTCAACAACTCAATTAACACCAGAACAACTTCAATAATATCATGAGACCAAATTATTTCTGTAGTATATCTTGACTATCTGACTCTAAAGTGTATCAAGAATTTTGGGATGAGGAAGAACAGTATTCAGGAACTTTAAAAGCTATGACTGGTGTGGGTCTTCTGGGCTGTGTGGCCGTGTTCTGGAAGTTTTGTTTCCTAACGTTTCGCCAGCACCTGTGAC